AAATGGTTTGGGTACAAATAAGTGTGATGTAAGTGTTAGTTGAGTAATTATTCAAATATATCTTATGCTTATAATACTAAATTCATCCTGATACTACTTCCTAATTACTGATATACTAGAGCGTTAATCTAAAATCCCTTAAATTTATTTTCAAACGTTTTGTATTTTCTTGAGATGTTAGTTATTTCCTCTGCAACACTATGCATATTGGTATCTGAAGATCTTACCAGTTTGGCGTATATACAGATGCACCCACTAATTGTTTTACGTTTATGTTGCCTTTTTTGAATCCCCTCAATTGAATACCGTAGGCCCATATCGGTTTCGGGATTCTTATACATATTAAACTTTTATTATAAACTGATAGTTTAGATTTTCGACTAATTAACCAATGCAGGTTACTTCTCATGCTTTCTAGGTGTTTCTATGTGCTGTTTTTTTGTCAATATATGTGATTTCTAATATTACTTATGCAACAATTGTTGCATTTAAGATTTTGACTGGGAGGCACGTCTCCTTGCAGAGGTTGAATGTTACGTGCGTTGAGTTAGAGTTGTCAAATTCAATCCAGAGTTTGAACCCCTTTTTTCATGTTTCTCTGTATGTTTTTAGTGTCATTTTGTTTCTGTAGCTGGACTTTGACCCTGAGCGATGATACATGTGTTATAGGCAAACATTGCCAAATTAGTGTAGTGATTCTCAGATTAATCGGCTGTGCACAACAGAATCATGGGAAGACCTAGAATACTACCTTGGGGAACCCCTGAATTTATGGCTTTTGTTTTGGACTGAGCACATAGTTTTTGTTTTTCGTTTAAGTAACATTTCATTGCTAAACGATTTTAAAAGTTTGATAATACAGTAATACCTTACTTAACTCTGTTTTAGTTTAGAAATAATGTCATAGAAGAAATGAAAAAATGAAAAAAATGACGATAAAATTGACTTCAACGTGTTATTCATCTTCAACTAATTTCTCTTACCTCAATATATTCATGTAAAAATAGCCTCGTTCAGTTCTGTTTCGCATTACGCTCTACTAAGGTGGAACGTATCCCCCACGTTAAGCGGAGTATTATTGTTCGTAAAATTAATTATGCAATTGATAAATTAACAAAAACAAAAGTATAAAACTTAATAAATTTGATGAATTTTATGAATGTATTTTCGGAAAAAAATATAGTTTTAGTATTTGACTCCGTCCGATAGTCAATCGGATGAACATTCGACCACCTATGCTACATATAGAATTAACTCTAAACGTTTATTTAACATTTTTATTTTCATACCAGAAATCACACCAAAGGTGAACGTAATATTAAATATAATATCTTAATTTAGCCCTTATTACTTCATAGCACAATAGACTATAGACCGCCCATTGTTTATTAGTGTCATGAAAATCATAAAATCGAACGATTCCTTCGTTGTGGCGGCACGAAAGCCGCGCCTAAAAAAGGACCACCGACATAGAGATATAGCAAATTAGCGTGTTATTTTATCAATATAAAACTCTAGACAGAAAGTTTTATATGGCCTGACATTATACATAATTATAGTTTTTTGCAATGTTCGGTCAGGGGAATGGAAAAATGAGTACAAATTAAATTTCTCGAGAGTTTATGCGCTTGATTTACTTGCATGAACAATTCAAAATTAACGATTGTTTACTAATAAACACATTGACACAATCGAAATAAACTTAGTTGTTTGTTGTTAAATTGGATAGTGACATAAAATTGCATTAAAACCGTTGGTATGACAACCACAAGTTTCATGATAAAATGATTTTTTTCTAGAGAGTTTACATACTTTTACCAAAAATTCAAATTTCATCTCGTAAACTAGAGTAAACATACGTTCAAAGTTTTCTCAAGTTGAAATACGATTAGAAAAAAATAAAAAAGAGTGCGGGTAAGGATCACACGCGATTGAAGTAAAACTTATTTGCTACTGTACAAAGTAGCAAATTTAAGTTAAGTAAAAATAAAAACATCATATAACAATTTTGAATAATGTTTATTAGTAATATGGTAATACTCGTGATGCGCACATTTATTAGTGTCAACCATTATACACATTTACATAATGATATAATGATAAATTATATATTTATAATAGCATTAAAAATGTTTATAATATTTAAAAATAATAATGTAATTAAGTCATACTTCAAATATGACATGATCGGTTTGTCATTGTAATTAGCATTTAGAACTTGAATCTTTACTAGAGAAATGAAATAATTGCTGATTAATAAAATCTATAATATTCGTTCACACAGTGGATTATGTTAAATAACGCCTAAGCAAATATTGTTCTACGCAGGGCCGGTCCTGGGGTCCTTGGCGCCCGCATGCAACATTTTTTCTAGCCCCCCCCCCCCATTTAAATTTTAACTGTTTTAACAGTTTGTCATGTAAATTGTATAAATATATACATATTTAAAAAAAAAAAATATTTTTAATTATTCTAGATTTCGTACATAAAAAATTAAATATAATCTAAAAGCGTATAAATTACATTGATTTTAAATTTATTTAAAAAATCAAATAATCAAATATTTTTTAATTTTCAATTATTTTTAACGTATGTGTTATATTAATATTTGGGTTTTGAAACATTTTACTTATTCATTATGCAATTTATTCTATTGAGCAACTCATGCCAAGAGAGCTGAAAAAACTAGCTTTTCAATTTCAATCAAAATACTCATTGTGGATTTTTCAAATTTTAATTTAATTTAATATTTCATTATTTACAATATCCAAAATTGAGTCGTAAACTTCTCCTTATTGATATCGTAAGAGCCGAATTGTATTTATCCTTGCTTTCGCGTCATATTCAGAGTATCAGGTTAAATATTCAAGTTAAATTTTCAACGTATTTTATAAGTATTGTCCAAAAATCAATAAAAAGTGACCAGAAATTACACATTTCTTGAACTATATTCGAAAAAAACTAATTATATGTGATATGTAATATTTCTGCATAGTCAATTATTATTAAATTTAGAGTATGGACACCACTAGGTATAACAAAAATCTTAAGATTTTTGTTCCAAAGAAAATTTTGCTTCCATTTTTCATATTTGTTCCATATCCATGACCTTAACCACGCATATCTTCAACATTCAAAGTTCATCAGATGCAAAACATTTGCAACAAAAACAAAAGTTACAATTAAATTTCTCGGAATAAACTTGCCCTTTTCTAAGCACTGATTCCCCATTTTTCATTTTCCCGATTATATTTTGTTTAAACTAAATTAGCTTGCAATTTTTTGTCAATAATGCCCAATAATTAATTTAATCTCTCGCAGGTGTGCGCTTATGGAATTGAACACTAGATAATTTACTTTTCAAGTTCACGGTAACTTCAAACAAAAATATTGAATAAGTAGATTAAGCAATAGACAAAGCTGTCATTTACTAATTTGCAGAGTTATTAATCGGTTAATTGTTTCTACTGATATCACATTGCAAAATAAATATGCTTTTTGTGTCTCCGTATCCCTAGTTAAGTTAGATCGTTTATTATAATTTATTAAGTATTCTAGATTTTATATAAATAAAAACTATAAATAATATATTATAAATTTATTTTCCAAAACTCGTTATGACGCCCCCTAAGGCTTGCGCCCGCATTTTTTGCATGCATCGCCCTGGTTCTACGCATACAACGACAGATCTATTTACAAACACGGCCACTAATCACAATCGATTCGTATTGAAATGATTTAATCGAAAGCGAATAACGTACAGTTCTGCCGTGACGGACTTCCGTTGCATTTGTACGGATTTATACCCCAGTCGCGACTAAAGAAGTTTTACTTCAAAAAATTATTTATTTAATTTACCTTACACTAAATGATAGGAATAACAACCGCAAGTTTATGGGAACAATTAAATTTTTTTTTGACTTTATAGATCTCTCCCAAACTTTGAACAGTCTTCCAAATATAACTTTCTTGGAGCTGGAAATCAATTAGAAAAAACTGACTGGTTTGTTGTTTATTGAAGTAGATAAACTGCAAAGCAACTTAAACTTGTGCATAAAATAATATCTATCAATTAATTTTACCTCACAATAAACCACGAATTTATATTAGGAATGACAACCACAGGTGTAGTCTTTGTGAAAAGAAATAAATATATTGTGAGTTTATAGACAATTGCAAGAATTCTAATGCATAAATTTTCTTAAATATTTCACAATTCTATATTACAAGGATCAAAATATCTAAACTTGTGGGACTTTTTACCTTTTCTTACTTCCTTGATGATAAGTCTTCTAAGATGACAATAATTTCAAAAGAAAAATTTTTGAAATATTATAATTGAAAGTGAAAGAGATTGAAGAGATATTTAAAGATATTTAATTATAAGACACCTTTGCCTGAGATATGAAAATATGTCAATAAAAATATATGTGCATCAAAATAAAAATATTTATATAATAGTTGTAAGTTAAATGTATATTAATATATACTTTTATTTACTATATTATTTTTCAGGTATATTTATATATAGAGAATGAAACCATAACTAGACATTTATTCATGCAGATCTACCTCGTTAAAAAATAATTTTTGGTGCTGACATGGATAATAAAAATCATAATATCTTTTCTCTGAATTTGACTATTTTACGGTTTTTTGGATGCTGGCCAAGAAGGAATGCTACGATGGCATATAATTTATATGGACTGATTATGATTATGTGTCATTATGTATTCTACACTATAACACTATTTTTAAGTTTAACTCGGTCAAACATATTAGAAGATATTACAGCATCATTATTTATGTCACTGACATTCCTGGCTATGGCTCCAAAGTATTGGATATTTTGGACCAAAAGACATGAAATTAGGACAGTCATAAATGAAATTAAATCATTTAAAATTAAAGTTTTTGATGATGAAAATATTGTTGAAATTGTGGATCGTAACCAGAGGAAAGGCAAATTTGGATGCATGTTGCTCTTCTACTTAGCAAGTATGGCTTTGCTTTCTTATTATGCTACGCCATTAATCGACTTGGATGCAAGACGTTTACCTTTTTTAGCCTGGTATGTAAAAAAATAGTTTAAGAAAGATTCACTTTTTGTAAAATTTAATAAATAAATATTTTATTAAATATCAAAAAAAAAAATTAGAAACGCCACATATACATCTTTGTAATCAAACAATACTTGAATTTTTTATCAAGTGCATGCCAAAACTTTTAAAACGTAAAGATATGTAAAAAAAAATATCTTAAATGTGAAATCAATGCACAATTAGATTCAATACAAGCATTTTTGTCTAATAACACAATTACATTGGATTACTAGATAAGTATTTAACCAACTCGATTATATTCATGATAAATATTTCTTTCATAGTGTCATTCAGAGTTTTCTTATTTAAAATTTTCAATTATATATTTTAGGTATGGAGTAGACCATAAAAAATCGCCTTGGTACGAATTGTTTTATATTTACCAGTGCGTTGGTGTAACAATCAACTGTTTAATAAATGTCAGTATGGATACTTTTCCTACACTTGCTATGTCCGCAATAGTTGCTCAAATAGAAGTTTTGTCTTATAAACTTAAACAAATTGGCCAAGAAGTGGTGCAAGAAATAAAGATACAAAAATGTGTGATACATCATAATTTCATACAGAAGTTAGTATATTATTCTAATTAATGGTGAGTAATTCATTTCAAAAACAGAGATGATGGAGAATATTTTTATTTTCAATAATTTATGTCTCAATTTGGACACTAAATATATATATTATTACTTGACCTCAATATATTTTATTATATATTTATAGATTAATTACCGATGTTGAACAAATATTCAGCATCCCTCTTCTGGTACAATTTCTTCTTAGTGGTGTTATAATTTGCGTAATTGGATTCCAATTATCAATGGTAATGATGAAATATAATATTCAGAAAATATTTTTACAATTGTTTATGGTGCAGTATAAAATTTTTAGTTGTCTCCAACCAAAGACAAAGTCAGCTTCGTTATGAATTTAGTTTACTTCTTCACCTTTACTTTGCAAATTTTCTTACCATGTTATTTTGGTAATGAAATATCATCAAAGGTAAGAATTTACTTCAAATTACTGGTATACGAGTACTTCAAACAGAATTATTCCTTTCCATTCAGTGCTATCAAAACATAACTTCATTAGAAACTTTGATATTCATCCTTTTAATTTAAATTTTTATTTGAGAACAAATTCACTTTTAGGTCACTTAATATAAAATTAAATAAATTAAATTTTTGGTTAAACAAATATTAATTAATAAATGCAATCTGGATTTTTATTCAATAATTTGAAACAAACTGAGACGGAATGTATTTCAATAAAATGGCAAATATGTATTCAGGGATATATTGATTACTGAACGTCACTCGTATGTTATAAAGCTGGGTCAGAAAAACCCTGTTATCTAAGATTTTTTTTTGACATTTGTGCGGTTTCTAGGTTAGGTTTTCTATCTGACAACTTAAAAAAACGTCTGACAACTGCACAGCAACCACATGGTTTTGTCAATATTTAGAACAAATTTGTATGGAAAGTTCTTCATAACGCCTTGCCACAACATAGATTTATTATGCCGCAGAATGGGTCCCATAATTTATATTTATATTTTAAAAATGTTTCAGAGTGCTTTAGTATCGCAATCAGCATTTTCGTCGTCATGGATTGAAACTGATTCCAAAATAAAGAAAAATATGATAATATTTATGGAACGTTCAAAAAGACCTCTCAAAATATACGCAGGAAAAGTATTTGAGCTCAGCTTAGGAACATTCACCATGGTATTTATTGAATATTAAATATTTACTTACAAAATTGCGAATAATAAAATATTTTAGATAATTAATGCTTCTTACAAATATTATGCTGTTCTGCATCATATGCAGAAACGTCGGACATGAGCAGTTTGTGGCATATTTGGAAGAATACTGGGATCAACTTTAATACTTATTGTTGACATATAAGATAAATATATAAATGCTATAGATAAAAATATTATAATTAGAAAAGTGCGTGTGAGAAATTATAAATTTAATGTATAAATAAACTTGATTGCGGAAGTTGAGAGTATCAACTGAATCAAAAATGCAAAATCTAAAAATGTTTAGAACATTAATATGATTAAATGTGATAAATTTCGGTTATAAGCGCTAAAATGTAAGCACAGCATATGTAAATAATTACAACACTGCTGAGATTCATTTAGAGTTCATAACTGATTTTTCAAATCCATCATATTTAATCATATCAATATTTAAAACATTTTTCAGATTTTGCAGATTTCTATACCATATAATAAAAAATTACCTTATAATATATATTTCTAATTTGCTTACATTTCAATATAATGTCACTCTATTAGAAATTTTAAACGAAGGCGAAAGAATCTATAAATGCTACCGGCATTACGAAATCATGTAATTTATCACATATGATTTGTCAGCCATATCGAATCAATTAATACGCTTATTACTGTTAAGGAGCTAATTGAAAATATTAATCCTATTAAAATATACTATACGGTAGCTCATTATTCAATATCATTTTAATCTAATTTATATGCATTTTATAAATATTTTATTCTAATTTATAGGCCGTGAAAATAAAAATAATTGATTTGTGATTAAAAATATTAAAATATTTATGCATTTGATTAATATCTTAGAGACATTTAATTATAATGCATCAGAAATGTATCGATTAAATAATACTTTGAAATTTGCAGAATTACTATATTATTATTCTATAGTATCGAATACAATTTTTCGTGAAGATCTTATTTCCACGTTTCAGCTTTCAGAAAGAGTGTTTTACTTGATATATTTAATGTTTACAGTAACATTTTACATTAATTTTACCGTAATTATACATTCGAAGAATTAAAATAATCAGTCAACAAAAATGTCTATGAATAAATATTATAAAAACTAGAATTGTCATTATTTATTCCTTGTAGACAAAGTGTGAAAACTTATTAGATTAGACGACGTAGTTTATAAATGAATGAAATATATATATATATATATATATATATATATATATAAACAAAATCCAATTAAGCGGACTTACTGTTAGAATAATCATATTTTATTTCAAATGCATCAATTTTTCGTTCGCGAAATAAATGCACTGAATTAATCATTTGAAATAGTTCATGTATAGTATCAACTATACAAATATAAAAAATTAAAAAAAAAATACACACGTGGGATTCGAACTCGATCAATTTTGATTGTTTTATCTACTAACGCAAACAAAAATTGTACTGATGCGCCAACCAACTCAGCTATAATGACATGCTCACGCACAACGCTATGAGCGGATGTCTAGGATCTAATCGAAATTACTGCACTTTTTGCTTTGCATCTTTGAAACGGTTGGACCTGCATGTACCAAAAACTAATCATTACGTCTCCACATCAATATGATTGGATTGTTTTTTGAATCATATAAATTGGCCGATTTGTTCTCTGCCATCATTTGCACTTTATGCTCCGTATCTTCGAAACGGCTAGACCTACCTTTACCAAAAATTAACAGCACAACTTATCAATGCGAATCGAATGATTTTTTAATTATTCAAATCGGTTGATTGGTGTTCCCGAAATCGTCGACAAAAATTTGTATCCGCGCACACACACATACATCCATTTGTTCTAAGGTATGCTAAAAATGTATATAAAAATTTTCATGATCGATTTTTTTGCTATTACTATAGCTAACCCTACCAGAAGTTAATTAAACCACATGTCGTAGTCTTTTTATATATGAGCATGTACATTAAAACCAGAAACTGTGTCGCCATTCAAACGTTTCATTAAAATCGCAAAAAAATCGAAGTGACAACCCATATCTACTCTTACATCCACTACCCGAAAATACTTCTACTTTGGGAAGTATTTTTGTTGTGTTTTTGAATTCAAATGTGTTTTATGTGAAGTGTACATTAATTAACAATTTCAAGTCAGCAAAAATATTCAAGTCTTATAATTAGATCTAACTAAGGATCTGCCGAATTAGTCACCAGAATTTTAAACGCTAACAATAAATTTGTTTCAAATATATCAAATTTTGTTCATTAAATATATGAACTGATTAATAGGCTAATAGTTATAAATATTTTTGCTATTCAAACAAAATAGCTATAAATATTTAGCTATTCAAACAAAAAAATAGTTCAAGAAAAATTAAATGCTCAGGAGATTCGAACTCGATTACTTTTAACTTTCTAATCTAGGAATCCAAATGCAACGAGCACAGCTATCATGACACATTGATTTTGCGCTGTCTATTTTTCGCAATTTTTATAATTAATTAATTAAACCAATTTTCATAGGCCTATAATATTATAAAGTATTCAGTTTGACTGTAAACTCTGACACCATGCAAAGTTTCATCTAAATCCCAGAAGAGTAAACCTGAGGTTTTCCTTGTAAGTAAATTTTAATAAATAAACTTTTAATACTTTGCACTTCTGAGTGTGTTTATATTAAAAAAGTACTTTTTATTCAATGACACGAGTTACTTATAAGTATCTTCATTGTAAGGATTTCTCCTCCTGGACTTCTCTACCACCTTCCTCTATTGTCAGGCTTTGATATCCGCCAAGAAGCATCGCGCTATCAATTCACAATAATGCGTTCTAAAATGCTCACAGAGCCTATAACGTTTTAAATGTAAAATGCGGTCATTAAACGTCTCGGAACTATACTACTAGTGTATGTAAAATACCATTCCTATTGTAGTTTTGCAACTGGCATCAGCATCAATATTCACCGCGACTGGAGACTGGAGAACAGTAGACGCGGAGGTCTGTTTCAATTACTCGCGGGGTTAAAGAACAACTCTTAAATAAATTGAAATAGTTCCGATGCAGACTCCGAGGAGTCTGCGCCGCAAATGAATGCACGGACAGCGAAAAACAAAAGACCTTTTGATCTACCGGGTGTTCGGAAATGGATACAGAGTGGGATTAGTGATTTATCAGTTTAATATGAGATGAAAGAATATTAATATGTAGTAAATATTTAAACAACTAATAGTATATTTGCCTTTTAACCACAAACAGACAATTACATTTTACATTTTAGTACTACTGGTGCGTGGCATCGTGCCTTGAGGTAAATTGCAAGAACTTCAAAAACTGAAAAAAATAGATTTTTGAGGATTTTGAAAAAAATGTTTTTTTTTATATTTTGAAATTGGTTGAAATGTTTGAATTTCTTTTAAAGCAATCGCGCTGTAATGCCATACTTTATTTCTAGTGTTTGATCGCAAGCGGCTGCAAAAAATGTATTATTATTATCACACTCTTATACAAACTATAATAAAGTTGTTACATTTGTTTCTAGTAAACGAAATTCAGATGAAAGAATTATCGATGTATATTATATTAAGTGGACTTCCACGCGGCCCACTGATTAGAACAATGTTCTTCATACCAGTAAGTTCTAGGTTCGAAGAGTCTGATTTCAAGCATTAGTAACATCAACGACAATATAGTTGAGAAGTAAGAAAAATAAAGTTGTAATTAACATTAGTCATCCAATATCTAATAGGACTTTATTTTTCAAAAAAAAAGTTATGAAATTGATGAAGCAATACGTATAGTATGATATCATGATATTATTGATAAATGATCTTCAATATGCAAAAACGTTGACAAAACAACTATATCGAAATGAGCAAATATTATTAGATACGCCAATACAGTATGACAAATAAATTGTTCTTTTTTGGGCCTTACATGATCTATCTTAATTCCAGCTCTGCAAATAAATTAAAACAAAACATTTTTCATTTCGTAATGTATTAATAATTATGAAGCTCTTGAAATAGAAACCGGCATGAACGACTTGTGAAACAATATGTTGGTAATAATAAATCGCATAAAAAAACTTAGTTATGCAAGTATTTATTGTTATTAAAATAAAGGTTTTATTATTGTTTAAATGCGCCGTATAGGTTTATCCAGAATGATATTATGAATGCAGAAAAATAAAAGTAATTCTTTTATGTGTTTTAAAATGCTTTTTTTGAAATAAATATTAAATTTAATCAATTCTCTTGTCAGCAATGCATGAATAAGTAGTGACTTATTCACGAATTCGTAAATTGCCGGAAATTTATGTGACTGGAAATTATTGCAACTAAATTAAAATTATACTTTTGATATTTTATAATATTTTGAATAAAATGAATGAAAATAACTTACTAAAATAAAATCTATCTCGCATATGAAAAATGTTCAAAATATATTTGTAGGGATTGAAACGATTGAAAAAGTATATATTATTGTGCTCACAAAGCTGTTACCTGTGGAAGCTTATCATTAAAAAAGACAAAGACGTTTGATGCATTTGTTTATTTTATGACTGTACACTTTACATATAACTCAAATTAACAACTGAACTTAAATACGACTCCATTGATGATTAAAGTACCACTGACTCATGTTGATCTACACTATATGAAAACTAAATGACGACTTACTCATATTGATCTGAAATTTATGAAAACTAAGTGATAACAGACTCAAGTTGCGTCATTGCAAGTCTTTTTATCAGCTCGTCCTCAATGTCACTTTGAAATCCTAGATTATTTTACGATCTGTTCAATGTCACTGAATAGTGCAACTTAATGCTTTACTTAGTTGTTCCTGCGTATTTGGTGGTTTTTTAAGGAATTTTATCAACGTTTGTTGCGCTTGCCAAGGATATCTTGAGCATACAATGTAGTAGAATGAGTAATTCACTATAACTGCGTAGTTTGTATTCTGACCGATATGGTTTTATAATAATATTATTACGAATGGGTGCATATCCACTATAATATATTCAGTACATAAATCTCAACATTTTAAAATCTCTAGTTTTCTCTGTCAACGGACTATTTATGACAA